CCTAGGTGAGTGATAAGATAAGGCAAGACAAAAAGTGTGGTGGGCTGGCTCAGGTGAGGTTGGAGATGGCGGGGTGGAAGCTTTGGAAGCATAGCTCCGCCGCCAATGAAGTGTGTCGGTCTAACTACCTGCTTGCCTACAGCGTCTAGCTTCAGTATTTATCAAAAATCAAGGCATATATTCATTCTTCAGATTTTTTAAATAATATAATCTCTTCATTAAAACATTCTTTCGTTAGACGTGGCAAATATGTTGAGCGGTGAAACGTGTCGGGTTTGGAGCCGATCCCCAAGATTTGGCCCACAAGATGTGAACAGAACTCGTTTCTTGACGCTTATTGTTTCCATGGGCGTCCCAGTTGTGAAGTCATCGCCTAGGATCTCCGGGAAAAGTCCAGGCAAACGCGGTCCATCAAATCAGGGCCAATTGCTGCGATGAGCTCGGCAATACCAGCTCTCATTCCCGGGTATTCCTCCACCCTCTGTTCATCCCAGGTGACGAGATCAGAGGTTTCGTATAATGGAGCTCTCGGGGAGATCTTCAAAGCGATATGATCCATATCCCACTCAGCAACCGTGGATATCGGAGGTATGCCCGGCATCCCAGTGGAAAACAACCAGTTGTTGTCATCTTCATCGGATGCAGCAGAGTTGGAACCTTTGTCCTCCGCTTTGTCACCCTCGTTTTTATCCTTGGCAGGCGACACAGAACTTTGGTCGATCTCGCGAGAGGCCTGCTCCTTTTCAAGCGAAAGGCTCACGTACGGCTTTTTGTCGAGGAGATCCAACACAGTTCGATCCAGGCGGTCCCATGTCAATGAGACAGGGTCAAGAATATACTGAGGTGAGTAGTCAATCTTGTACCACATCTTGGGGCAACTGTGTATATAATAGCCTGGGTACCACCAGCTATAGCCCTCCTCGATGGATAAGGCGATCTCATACAGTGCACCAAGCTTCCCTGGCGCATGCTGGTGAATGCTTTCATGGTAAAGAAAGTATACCGAGCTTACACACTCGGGCAAGAGGTCAAGCACCCCAATGGCAACTAGCTTACCATCTAGCCGGTAACATTGGTGATACGAGCCCAGGCGACGCTTACGCCCATCGGATGTCACCAGTTTTTCTCTCCTCAAAGGTGAGTCACAAAGGAAGCGTCTGAATCCGCTCTTGGTAATCTCATCCGGAGACTCCTTATGAACTACCGCCTGGTAGTTCTGGTAAACAGCAAACTTCTCGTCCGTATAATCGTCATGCTCTAGGGTCACGACGAGCTTATGGGCAGCCTCAGGAGGGTTCTTCAGGTTAGCCTCTTCAGCCTCATGGATTCGTTCGACGAGATCAAAATGGTTATCCCGTTTCTTAGCCTGATCACGCGATTTGGGATACAGGCGAGCCGCTTCCCTCATGTAAGCCTCTCCCATGACATACTTATTGAAACGGTTGACGGTCTGCCGTTGATCTCTGGATGGCTTGAACTGGCTAGAATCGAGACGAATAGTATAGTGTGGGCAACATGACCGACGCTGATCGGGCCGGTACATGAGAGTGCCTGAACGTCTCCAGTATCTATCAAGGAGACTTTGATAGAACGCAGCACCCAAAGAAGTTGCCACTGCGTGGTAAGCGTAGCCTATAACCCCACGTACTAGTTAGCCTGACGTTCAAGAGACCGTGTGACTCAAGTTCTCATATGAAGTGATCAATTTGAACTCCAGAACGACCATCGATGACACGGCCGTGGTATCACGGGTGTCTCGTGACGTAAGTGTATGCGAGTCTTGGGGTGGTCAAAAGGTACTGGAGGTGCAGGGGCTCAATTCACGTTTTGACTGACTCTTGTCACGTTTCCCACAGTAACCGCATCTTGACGATTTGAAGTATCCTAGGCATCAGTCAACATTCGGTGAAGGGAAAGGTATGAACGGCAATTGTGTGGGGGTGGTTTCTTCTGAGATGTCAACGAATGGAGAGTATGCGTGGGGGAGTAGAAAGCGAAGTCATGTAAAGCGGAAGTGGAACATGACCAAATGATACTTGACATCTGATGTAGCATAATACATGAACCCTGAAGCTGCCCTGCTACGCCTTATCATATGACAATAAAATGTCATCGTTTGTGATTGGGACCTTTATTGGTGCTTTATCCAAAGCACCAACGGTAATACTGAACTAGGAAACATTTGAGGCCAGGAAGGCCTTGCCAATCTTGAATTCAAAGGGACGGTTCTGAGACACAACTTGATGAATACAGCAAAGAAGCAAGCCAATTACGCATGCCTGAAGAGGCAGACATAGGTTTGTTGAAGTCGGGATACACACCCACACTTGTGAGCAGACGTAAGCTAGCTAGGAGTGCTAATGAATTGATAGTGGCATTGATCCTTGACGCACGACCACCAAGATTGCGGAACCGTTGAACATGAGACTGCGATCAACTGTCTGTCATTGACCAAAGTGGAAGCCGTCTGCAGGCTAAATTGGGATTGATATTGACGTGGATGTGGACGCCCTCGGGCTCCATATAACTCCTTGTAAAGGAAGGGAATGGTCAAGTGAAATGGAAATGAATATGGAACGAACTTGTCCCGGACGGGGAAAACGGGGGCGCCACAGGGACCGGCCGCGACGGAGCTTAAGCGCAGGCGCCGGCAACCAACGACAGGCCGGCATTGGACCACGGGGCTGATCGGTTGGAGAAGAACGTGGGAATAAGCACTCACCAATTGGGGTCATATATTCGTACTGCAACAACGCATCTTCATGGATGACGATGTGCATGCCGCTGGGTTCCATTGTGGACCTTGAACCTGCACTGCACAACTGGAGTCGTGTTCCTCAAGGGGCTGTTGGTAATAGGTGAGGTGCTCTGATGATGTCTTGCCGGAGACGGAAGGACGACGGTGGTGCAGGGCGGATGAGGGGCACCGAACCTTTCTCAAGTACGGGCCACAACGAGGAGTTTAAATCACCCACGAGGCGCGAGTAATGTTATCCGAGACGGGCAAGTCGTTGCGTGAGTTACGGTAGGTACTAAATTACCACACGTAGGTACCGTAGGTCCCTCGAGCGGGAGGAAGACGGAGAAAGGGGCAGACTCCCGGGCCTTGGGGATGGAGAATGGAGAATGGAGAATGGAGGGGGCGTGGGAGTTTGTTGAGGAAGGTTCAGCGAGTGACGAAAGCTGCGATCGCGTGCCTGCTGATTCCCCCTCTCAATGCGTGAGCGTGGGATGTTGTGTCTGCGGCTGGTAAATAGTCGATTCGATTAACCCAGTTGGTTGACTATTTGGGGTGCACACGAACGATGATGACGAGACGAGACGCTGGCTGCGGATGATACCCAGGGATTGGCGCTGAGAGTGAGGGATGTGATCGTGTGCGCGCATGTGCAACAGAATTGACCAAAATCGAGCTGTTTCGATCTAACTTTAGGCGACCAAGCTAGTGTAGTCCAACAGGGGTTCAAAGACACAGAAACTGAACTGACGGGTGTGTATTGTAACACCTGTAGACCAGACCTGTAGTTGTGCAACGGTTTCGAAAGCGGCAGCCGGTAGAATGTTGACTCCACGGCAAAGTTCCGATATCGTTTAGAAGCTACGGATACTCTGGGTTCCAGTTGGTAAGGTGCCCCATGTAGGTTTGACCGAGAGAATGCCAAGGGAGTAAAATGAAAGACACATCAATACGTGGGAGATGTTGGGTTTTATGGGAAGATGGGAAAGACAGCGAAAGGTTGAAGATGGATGATAAATGAGATCAACCATTGCTTCCATTGTAATGGCGGGGGGCTAAAGTAGGTACCTAAGGTATTCTGGCCACCTAATAGGTACCTAGTCACCTAAGGTAGGGCTACAATTCTCCAGGAATCCAACTCTCTACCGATACCTTTTATAGGTAATTCATGAAAGTAGCATTTATTAGCTACAGTGCTGTTAGCAATATCGAAATTCACATGCAGTCATCATATGCAATCAGATATCCAAGGTTGCGGTAATCTGTTGAATGATATGTATGTACGCTATGCTTAAAGCCAATCTCATTGCTAAATCCGACTGCAAATATTCAAGTTTACTCTCCGAAACAGCACAGATTACAACACAAGATATCCCAGGCCCGTCTCGTATCCAGTAGGAAGACTTCCGACCTCTCCAGCATTTCCTCAACAACTACGGAACCAGATTCGATACAAGGCTGAGTCTGTGTCACCAACCTTGTCACATGTCTGTCATCTCATCTCATCTCATCCCTGATTAATAAATAAATAAAAAGTACATGTCCCTTCAGAGCATCAACAACGAGACAGGATTGGAGGAATCGATTGCCCTGGCTTTTGGTGGCCAATCCCTCAACGTTGATGACTAGCCTCTCTACGGAGTACGGATACAGGTACAGTTCATTATATTATTCCTTGCATGCTGCAGCCAAAAAGTAGCTGTGCGACGAATGAGGTGACACGAAAAGAAAGAAACCTATGTACAGGTCCTACTAGCCTCAAACTGACGGTCCCAGGCGAATCAAGCAACGATACAGCATTAGTGTGTTGCATCTTGCTACTGTATTTGCTCCATTGCTCTGCAGATTTTTTGACAGTTTTTGGACTCGCCTCGAGACAATCACGGAACCAATGTTTTTATCACCCGACTTGCGGGCCTTTTCTCGGTCTCGTCTCCGGGAACTGGTTGTGGAAGACTCCATGTCCAAGGAGGCTTACCGAGCTAGAGACGCTACGAGCTTTTTTGCCAGACCGGTATCGAGAAGCAAAAGCTTGCTTGCATGTCGAGTAAGGTAGCGGTAGGTAGGTATTGTTGAGAGGGAACGGAGTCCGGCGTTAAAATAGACGAGCTAGATATGCATTGTAACATTCAAGTTGGCAGAGGCTTAATCGACATGACGTCTGTTTATATCTCGAGCTGCAGCAAGAGTTGTGTGATAGAACAGATGTTGAAGAATATCAGATTCTCTCTTCCAATGATCGTCATTGTCGAGGGTGCTTATTATGCGCACTTCGGCCACTAGGACTCCAACATTGGAGATCAAGGGCTCTCGCCTCGCTTTCACGATACCTGCTATGTGCTCCATCCGTGGCATGGACCCAATGCTTGCTGCTCTGCTTGTACAAGCGCATTCTACCCCTCCCCCTCCCATCCCCTCTCGTGCTACTACTGCTGCTAGTTACTGCTTCTTCTTCATGCATCGTACGTCAGGGTTAATGTGGTACAGCGTAGAAGCTGTCCGTGGACGACGATGAACCTATCATTGTTAACATGTGAATTGAGAAGAGGTCAAGTTGAAGTCTTTGCGATCCTGAAGCTGCAGCCCCATCCCTCCATGGTTGCTAATGGCATGGATGACCCCACGCTGCGAAAGCAGACCTGCGTCCGCGTGCTGATATGCCGACTCGAGACCGCTTTCAATAGCAACCTAACCTAGCATTTACATACGAAACTGGTGGGTGTGTACCCAAGCAGTGTGTCGTTTCTGAGGCTCGTTCCTGTACCACAAATGTTGATTGTTACATTGGAGGAGTTGTGACGATGCTCCATTGGCTGTCATCTACTGCACGTACGTTGAAACTAATCGGCCTCGTTTTCCTTCACAATAAATAAACCACCCTGCATCTCACCAGTCAAAGCTGTTAAATTTCTAACAACTTCCAAGATTTCTCAGATACTGCTGCACATGCCATTCAGGGATGCTGTAAAGAACTTTTGGTAACTAGTTAGTGGCACCACAAAGCACACGTTCTGTCATGGCCATGATTAATAAGAAGCGCATCGGTGTTGTACTGTATGATAATATTTCCCCATCTCATGCCCTGGACTTTTATTTGCGGGACAAGATGGGGCACTGGTTAATAGCCTGTGTATTTTTTTTGGCTTCACCGGATCTAATATAGAAGTATCTGCTGCTGGGTTTGTAATCTCTTACCGGTATGAGGGTCGAGATCTTCCCAAGTAACTGCCATATTCAATTTATCTGCATCTCAGTTCAATTGTACTCTCATGGTTCTGTGAGACCGAGACTTTCCAGCACAAGCAGATTAGGGGCGTAGCATTACCATAACAATCGAATTATAGGAGTAAAGAGGACAAACATCTCCCCACGATATATTTCCCATTCCGTCATGCATACGCAGTAACCTCCCACGCCCATTACCTCTCTGAGAGCTATGCCATCGGTTAACCCTGCATTATTATTACAGCCCAAGTTCTCAGCTCAGACGAAGCTTTTTACTGTGTAGACTCGTGGCAGTACAATCTGAGCACCCATGCACCATGAGCCTATCAAGATAGGCTCGAATATAAAATCAACAGACCCTGTCGTTGTCAGAGTTTGGTCTCCTTTGTTATTTGGATGGCACAAGACATGAGGTGGTTTTAAGATTGCCTACACGGAGACTCATCTCACCTTTGTTTCTTCCATCGCATTGCCTGTTGACAATTTTACCCCTTCCTTGCTTTGGCTTGACAAGTGAAGAGTTACTCTCAACCTACGGAGTACAGCCTTTTGAATACGGGGCTATATCCAAGACACGGCCTCTTCTTAATGGTCTGGAATCCTTCGAACATCGCTTGCTATTCTGGTTGTCACGCTGCGTCCTCGACTCTGTTACTCAAACCATCGCAAAGAGTGCCTACCCTGCACAGCTCAGCTTCACCTAGCAAATCTTTATCCAGGTACCTATCTAATAAACCCAGGCGGCTAGCTACTAGAGCCGTATGAAATAACACGTCATTACCATTAATTTCACAGTTCGACACCTTGACAATACCTCTGCCCGATCGATCTCGTCTCCCAGACTCGTAAGCTTTTGGTTCTCAGCCTCTCCTACAAAAGCGTTGGCGTGAGACTCCTCAACTCGAACCAAGCCTCTTCATGATATCAGTATCGGTTAGCCAACACAAGTGACTTTGATAAACGCCGCGGCAACTCATGCAGGGAGCCTCTCACGTTCATGACTTCCATTATTATCCCCATTTCTAATCAAAGTTTGCCTCGCATCGGTCGACCCAGCGAAAGCAGCCCTCAGTTCCACACTCCACGCTTCAGCGACTCACTGTTACAGGGTGCCACCGCCCACCATCCACCTAGGTACCTTACCGTTTGGCCGGGCAAGTCTAGGCCTAAAGCCCACTGCAAGCACTACATCACAGTACTGTACATACAGTCCAGTACCTCTGACCTGACACGCTACGCATACTCCATCCCTAGGCAGGTACTGTACCTACTTAACCTAGTAGGTAGGCGAGGATCCAGCTTTTCCCCTCCGCGTCCAGTCCCTGTCTAGCCTACTTGAAGAAGACTTGTCCGCCGAGCGCCCAGTGCTCCCCGTACCTACACGCCCCCCAACCAACCTAAGTCAGACCAAACCCTCTTCGCTGCAGTCGGGTCTATTCTGTTCTGTTAGTAGGTAGACAGGTACCTACGTACAGTCCAGTGCTACAACCAGTACGTACTGCTCTACGGGTTCCGCCAGACAGACATACAGACACCTTGACAAGAGAGATCCGCCGAGTCGCCCGCTGGCTGCCCCTTCGAGCTAAACTTGGGACATTTTGCGCGTGCGCGCCCACACCTCCATCATCTCGCAGTTTATATCACATCACCAGCCCAGCTCTTTGGAGCGTCTGGGCTCTCCCCGACCAAAAACCAAAGCACCAGCACCTTCTGGCGCAGGCCACGGCCATTTCTGTTCTTCATCCTCACCTCACTTGATCACAAGACCTTTACCAACTATTCACTGTTCGACAATGATGCCTCTCAAGGCTCTTTGAAAGCCACCCACCCGCCCATCGCAGGTTCCCGTCTCTCTCTCTTTCTCGACCCAGGGGTGAACATCCGTTCTCCTCCGCTACCTCCGAGGACCTTTGAAGCTTTCTTGCTCACGCCATCGCCTTTCGAGATCCACGAACATCTTTGTTTTTGTTCTCGCTGTACCAAATTCCCCGACATTCCTCCCAATTCCCGTCACTCTCCGCCCCAACTTCCCACTAAGAAGATGTCGAGTTCTGCCTCTGGCGACTCGGGCGGTGGCCGTTCCATGGAGTCACGAGTGGGTAGAAGCAAGCAACGTGAGTCTTTACCTGATGCGCAATACACTTTTTTCTACTTGAAAGTATCCTTCTCGGCACATTTGACCTCCTTGGCTTTTTATGAAGCATTTGTCTTGGTGCCTCTTATACTGTCCTTGTTGCCATTTTTGTGGTGTGATGGATTTGAATTCAACCATAATTTCCCACGCTCGCCTGGGCATAATTCGACAACTTCTCGACAGTCCGCATTCTCAATCGATGATTCTAAAAATCCCACCACTGACACTTTTCTTTTTGTATAGGTTACAACACTAAGGGCGAACGTCTCGTCGCTGGCATCGTGCCTCTCACTCCCGATCAAAATTTTGTTCTGTTGATTCAGTCAACCCGGCGCAAAGGCTGGGTGCTGCCCAAGGGCGGCTGGGAGTCTGATGAGACTTGCCAGGAAGCCGCTGAGCGAGAGGCCTGGGAAGAAGCCGGCATCACTGTTCAGATCACATATGATCTTGGTGACATTGATGAGAAGCGTGCGCCCAAATCGTCAAAAGATCGGTCAAGATACCACTTCTTTGAGGGCACAGTAACCAGCGAGTACGACGATTGGCCCGAATCCCACAAGCGAGAACGCCAGTGGTTCACATTTGCACAGGCGTGGGAGGCGTTATCAACGAGACCAGAGCTACAGGAGGCCTTGCAACGGTCTACTGTGAATCGTCAATAGCCTCAAGGCGCCCTCTCATGCGCAGTCCCGGCCTTGGAAGTGACCAATCTTTATCCCTGAACAGCCCTCCGTTCAGTCGCGACAACATGGGTTTATCTCCTGTCTGTTGAGTGGATTGCGATACACCGTCACTTCCATAGAGTTCTTTTCATTTCCTTGTCATGAGAGGAATAACACGTGCTCGTCTCAGAAACTCAATTTGGGTTGAGTTACAAAGCACCTCTTCTTTTACCTCCTATTTTTCAGTTCTCTATATAGGAACTACAATGTGCATCCATCCCAAGGCGTTTAGGCTGGAACATGATAGAGTATCACTTGTTTTGTTTTATTTACACATCTAAGAATTCGGACGGGGCGGGATACTTGAGCGGCATATAAAGGTGCAAGCATCGAGGTCAGAGGGTTATCTTATTGCAATTCATGGATAGGACCGGAAAAGCATCACAAAAGGTTGGCTGCCCTCAGATTCTTGCTTTTTTTATCGGGGTCTAGCCCAAAGACCGACGGGACGGGGAGGCAAATATGCGCATAAGTCCACCCACTAGAGAGGGACGAAATCTTAGTAACTCGCCTGGTCATGGTGGAGTTGAATAGACTCGGCGATTCCCCTCACTTGAGCGCATCTAAACAAGTTGAAGCTGGGTGAGAGTGAGAGAGTGAGAGGGTGAAAAGATCACCAAAACGATGAGACATTAAAAAAAAAAGAAGAACCCTTTGCCGAATGGCATATAATGACGCACAAGCAAGTCACTGCTGCAACTCTCGACCACTAAGAGATTGCGGCCAAGACCTTGTCATGGATGCTTATTTCTTGCTTGTTCTGTTCCCTGAACCTTTTGACTTTCTGCCCCGCCAAGGTGAAGGATGCCCCTCCATCTGCTCTCTAACTTTAGAATGCCCCGCATTGAAGTCAGAAATTTGATGGCATGTTTTGTTGAATTCGGCGTTTTATAGCGATATGTAGCTAAATGGCCCCTATCGTTATAGCGCTGTTTTGCCGCAATAGGATCCGCAACACCTTAGATCAACGTCAAAGCATCGGCGACCTAAAGCAACTTCCCTTTATTCGACCGCTGCAACCGATCTCCTCGCAATGTTCATGTCATGAACCTGTAAAAGAACTCTCCATGGATCAATAGAACTTCGCAACCACAAAAGACATAATAAACCACCACCAACCTCACCCCGTCCATCACGATATCATGGAGAACCTATCTATCGCCGATGCTCCACAGGGTCGCGGTGCGCCGCAACCGCTCCCCCAGTTGCCGCCGCAGATGTTCACGACTGCAGCTCAGCTCCTGGATCTCACAGATAGTACGACTCCGCCATGGTACCAATTTATTCCTGTATCCAGTTCATGAGATGGGTTGGACTCGATAAAACAAGGGAAAAGGAAGGATCGTGTGCTGACGACTGTATAATTGCAGAGAAGCTCATGGTCGCTTTGCGCGATGGGAGAAAACTCATCGGCGTGCTAAGAAGCTGGGATCAATTCGGTGGGTTTCAGGGAAACGAATCACTGCAGGGAGAACATTCCCTTTTCTGACCTCAATCAGCCAACCTTGTCCTCCAGTCTACCGTCGAACGTATCTTCGCGCCCTCTCCCGAGTCAGCAGGTAGCGACCGACCAACGGGTCTGTACGCCGATATCAATCACGGTATATTCCTCGTCCGAGGTGAAAACGTGCTCCTCCTTGGTGAAATCGACCTCGACAGGGACGACGACCCGCCTCCCGGCTTTGAGCTTGGAGAGCTAGACGTTGTCAAGAAGCTCGCAGAGGAGAAGAAAGCCGTCGACAAAGCAAGGGAGAAGGCGCGAGTCAAGAAGCTTGCGAAGCAGGGCTTTGAGGGGGAGAACATTGGCGAGATCGTGCTCTAGAGTACGTTTGGATATTGGTATTTATCTTAAATTAAAAGGCCTGGAAGTAGGCCTAGGTTGCCGGACGCTTTCAAGTGCTCTGGCTGATGGTTATTTGGGCAGAATATTGTGAAATGCCCATATACCATCAAGGGGATGCCAGCTTGAGAATTGGCTGGCTCTTCAGGAATTAAAAAGCCTCGATACCGTAGGTTAGAGGCGGATAGCGCGTATGAATATATGAGCTTCACGACGCTACATCCAAAGTCTACCAAAATTAGACACTTGATGGTTCTGGTTGGCAAGCCAAAGATAGCCACCTAAGGGAATCCTGTTGATATGAACTCGCGTGAAGCCTCAGGAGTAGTTTTCCAAGTTTCCTCAAAAATTCCATGCACACGACATCGTATCCTTCTCTCCTTATTGTAACTCGCAATAATCACAGATATCATGAACAGGCCAGTAGAACTCATAAAATAAATAAATTGCATAACTTGTATTCTGTTGGAATGAGGCCCTAACCATGACCAGGCTCCATTAGGTACACAAGATAACTGTCAAAGAGGGACGATTAGTGACATGAAGTGTTTCAAGGCAAGGCATTGTCTAAAAATGAGTCTTAATTGCTAATTTACAAAGCTATACAAAGTCTGAATGTGTGCGGAGTCTCATGGCTCATTGTTGTACACTGTCTTATGGATAAAGACCCCGCGACCCGAACCAGCATGAAGTCGCTGGCGATGATCAAGATGCAACCAGAAACGCCTCTCATGATGCCATATCCTTCCGTAAACCGCTCTCGTTTTCTAAGCGAACACGCCCCTTGGGGTCATATCATCACTGCCCACCTCTAGAGTTAGTGTTTAAATGGATCGTCGTCTTCGGACTCGCTCGAACATTGGTATAGGAGTGCCAGGGTTCTTGCAACCTCCAAGGAGCCAGTCAGTCAGACCAACAACCTTTGCACCAACTCCAGCTTCCCAATCGCCACCGGCTTGTGACTGTTCAATAGTATGGCTTAGAATCCGTCCTTCGGCATCGAAGTCGAAAACAAACAGTCCCGTGAATGCCTTGTCTGGGTCGACTCCACGACCAAACGGCAGGGACCGGGCGATCACTCCTTTATTGGAAGAACTATCTGAGCCCTTTCGCTTCTCGCACCAGCGGACTACGAGCTGCTCGGGTATCGCCCCAGCACGGCGGGGTAAGAATGTGAGGGGTTCCGTTGTCATGCGCTCCGCGAGAACCTCGATTAAGACGTTGCCGAGAATGGGGACGCGGTTCCAGGCTATCGGGGAGGTCCAGAGGGCGGCGTTATAGGCGACCCGGCCGGAGACGGTCGGTAGGTGAGGGTGCGTCGAGGGAAAAAGATGGAGGGCGATATTTGGCGCAAGAATGTCGTGGGGAAGAGGATGTAGTAAAAGCGTTGGTAATCGTTCTTGTAGAACTCGCAGAGCTGCATCAAGTCAGCATTGTGATACAAACATTGGAATATCCTCAGTGACGTACTTTTTCCTAGCTTTGCCTTATTGGGGTCCTTTGGTCCGTCATCGCCAGATCCGACCCATCGCACGCCTGTCGCATCGAAATATGTCCTCGACAAGGCGCCTCGCCTTAAATAGTCCTTGAGAAGAGTGGCATCGGAAGGCGGTAGAGAAGGGTTAGGTTCCCTGACTGTGATGGGCTGAACCTGTGCCTTTGCCGGGCGAGCATTGGAGAGACTGCGAATAGAGGCAACAGAAGTCCGGCCGGAACGGCTTAGACTGGATCGGATGGGCGCGGCCATTGGGAGGTCACCGCAGCAGAATGGAGAGATTCATGGATCAAGAGTGAAATTTTATAGCGGAAGCCAAGGGTGACTTTGTTAAAAAAGGGTCTAGAATATTACAGAATCAAGGTGAGTTGGTGGTAATAATGGTGTTGCCGATACCTCGTAGCTTGGATGGTAGGGAACCTCCAGGTAAGGTATATCCACTTTTGGACTTTTTCTGCGATGGCTTAATGGGTAGACTCGGAAGTATCTAGCGGCAGTAAAGTGTAGGGAAGAGACATGATTGTGAAATGCTGGACCTGATTGGTTGACGATCGAGACTCCACAGCCACAAATTGACAGCGGAGCGGGATGTGGCGGGGCGGGTCTTTTCCACTGTGATGGGGTCTTTTGAGTGGGAGAGAACAGGATGGGAATCTGGAGAAAATGGGAGAATTGATGCTTGAGTGAAGCAGGATCCACTGATAAGGCGTTATCTGGTACTTCTTGGAGATCATCTGTTGCAACATAGGTAGTAGTGAATGGATGCCGTCTTTCTCACTCTTAAAGCAGAAGGCGGTGAAGTTGATCTAGCATGTATCAACTTGTGACATGCCAAGTCACTTGAATCGTGTGAATGACGGCAGAGGCTCCGAGTTTGGCTCATGGGCAGCCTCATGATGGGCACCTTAGTTAAAGAATGAACGGATGCCTACAGTGCATGCCCGATGACGGAACAAAGCAGGCAGACCCTCAAAGCAACGATGCATTTCTCATTCCGATGCTGTTTGTAAATATGCATGCATGATACAAGGCTTGCTGTTCTTTTGCTATTGGAAGATGATCTGTTATGGGAAAGTCTACGTCAACTTTGTTGAGTCCTAGGTATCGCAAGCGATAGTGTTATATCGGTAAACCGCCCTGTGATATCCTGATGTGTACCTACTGCATGAGAACAAGCAATAGTAGACTCCTTGTAAGGAAAATTAAATCAGCGAATAAATCTCGTTTGTGACGCATCGTCCGGTGTCATTCAATTCTTATTTACTGCACATGCTCTGTCTTTACCCGTTAACTCAGTATCACATTGACTGGCCTTCATTGTAACTCACTCTTTGTTCTCTTTGGCGCATCACGTGATCCTTACCTGTCAGCTGCCCCATCATTCCCTCCCTCCCTCTCCTACCTTAGGCGGTGCTGGCGTTGCCTGGCGTTACGTTTCTTCCCTGACGTACCTTACTTGAGCCTCTGCAACCATTCTCAACTTAATCTTTCTCTCCCATCAACTCATCTCCAACTCCTCATTCCATCGCCTCGACAAGTCCGTCTTTCCAGCCTCGCCCCTTCACTTTTCGCATCGGATTCTTGTCTTACCGCGAATCAAGGAACAACCGCCAACATGAACCCTGAGTAGTACGCCACTCTCCGCCTCCTTTGCGATAACCTCCTGATGGAACTATGCCCCATGCTGACTATTGCCCCAGAGTTGCACCCTGCCATCCTCGACTGAACGTCATGCGACTTCCTTATGCTGCCGCTGTCGAGATGCGACTCTTTGATAATTTTTGGATCTGACACCAACTAGATACGACTATCTCTTCAAGCTCCTCCTCATCGGAGACTCCGGTGTTGGAAAGTCTTGTCTTCTCCTGCGATTCGCCGATGACACCTACACCGAGTCCTACATCTCTACCATCGGTGTCGATTTCGTGCGTTGTTCCCAGCCAGCATTTCCGCTTACCTGGCATATCGTCTAACACTTGCTCAGAAAATCCGAACAATAGAGCTCGATGGCAAGACCGTCAAGCTTCAGATCGTATGTGGCACCCTTCGCGCAGGCTCCGGCCACCTACCCAAATGCTAACCTGTCCTCAAGTGGGATACCGCCGGTCAAGAGCGTTTCCGTACCATCACCTCTTCCTACTACCGTGGTGCCCATGGCATCTGTGTCGTCTACGATGTTACCGACATGGACTCATTCAACAACGTCAAGCAATGGCTCCAGGAGATTGACCGATATGCCACTGAGGGTGTCAACAAGCTGCTGGTCGGCAACAAGAGCGATATGTCAGACAAGAAGGTCGTTGAGTATAGCGTAGCCAAGGTAAGTTTTTTTTTTTGTTCTGGTACTCTGAATGTCGCAGCCTAGCGGGTCGCCCATCACATGCATCTAAGCGCCTGAATGCTCAAATGCCCCTGTCACCAAAATTTGACCCTCGGCTGCGACAACTACCCACAGCAACACGATGACTGACATAAAGTTGCAGGAATTCGCCGACAGCCTGGGAATTCCTTTCCTTGAGACCTCCGCCAAGAACGCCAGCAACGTCGAGCAGGCTTTCCTGACCATGGCCCGTCAGATCAAGGAGCGCATGGGCACCACAACGGCCAACAATACCAAGCCCAGTGTGCAAGTTGGTCAAGGCCAGGGCGTTGGATCGTCCTCCAACAACAGCTGCTGCTAAATGCATTAACGCTCTCCTTTCTCTTGGCGAAGCAGGATGATGGAGTACGGCCGGGACGATGAACAACATGCCAGGGACACGATCGGACGAGTTCACTCACGATATTTGATTTTTCCTTTCACTCACTCCATTTCTGCGCATAGACCAGATCATGACCACTTGGATTGCCTTTCTTTTCCGCAAGTCACCACTTTATCCCGTCACCGCCTTGGCATCTGGAACAACGGCTCTTTCCATTCGTCTCAACGTCATTCGCGGGCCCTTCCATTGCTATGTCGACGGTAGGAATGGGCGGGGCGGGGAATCGATAGGTTCTGGGGAGGGAGCATAAGGGGAGACGACAGACACGAAGGCAGATTTTGTGTTTTTGGTCGCGGATGGCTTTGGAAGGTTTTGCGCGTGCGCAGGCTGTATTTTCTCTTATTCCCCCATGCTGTGTCTTTGCACGTTTGCGAAATTCAAGTATTGGGAGGCATTCGTCGGTTCTTGTTCTTTTCAACCCGCCAACCAGTCCCTCGCTGGGAATCATATTGTCTGCGCACCCCGTTCTCCTCTGGCAATTCGCGATCCTGGCCCTCTGTTCTCTGCAACGTCTTGACTCCTTGAGAGCTACGGAGGAGAGTTGCGCTGATTGTCAATATCTTGCTTGGGTTCTGATATCAATTGTTGAGTTGTTCCTTCTATTTTACCATCCTGGTTCGCCTATGGTTTTTTCGTCTTTTTGGTACTCGAGATCGATTTTAGTATATGAGAAAGGGTTATTCTTAATAAAGGTGGAATATTCCTTTTTTTAAACTTGATACGGTGAATATTGTTGAAGTCCCTTACTCACTTGGCTTCATATCCTACATTATGATGTCGACGCCGTGAAATGTTTTTTCAATGAAGAGAGTTCCTTGGCCAAAAGAGACTCATGCTATACAACGAGCTCATAGCCAAGATTCTGTGGTACATCTCATAGATATCGCCAGTACGTTCTTAAATGTCCATCTGAAGTCCTTGGTCGCATTCCGAAACCTGCTGGCTACAACACAGCGCATACAGTAGACAACACAAGCACAGCTCTTTCACATCAACTTTAACCATTATACAACCCAAGCAAACAGTTCAAGACGTTGTGTAAGCACTTTATGTAAGACACAAAGATAAAGCTCAGATGCTTAGTCTACGCTACACACGCTTCATGCACGAAGACCTTCCTCATCGATGATAACCAAGTCGATATACGTCATAGATCAACCACTCTCAGCCTGATGTCATTCTCAAGACACGTTCTCAACATAACAACTTCATTTACAGCAACTCTCTCTCACCAATATATCTGCGCATAATAAAGACATCATATCCAATACCCATCTCAATTCTTCACAATCCTTCAAAATGGCCAGCGTCGAAAATCAAGTGTCAGAGCAGTCCGAAGCTCCCCTTCAAAACGACAATGAGAACGCAGAGCAACTAGCTACCCTTGCAGAAGGCAAAGTCGCCGATGCAGTAAAGGGAACGAGTACCAGAGATAAGCCTCGCAAGGATGATATCAAGATTGAGGATTATGCCTCTGAACTTGACAGGTTCGTCTCAATACCTATATAGCTCGTTCAGTATACGGAAGCTAATGCCATTCTAGAAAAAAGGCTGAGCAGGCCGAGGCCAGAGAAGAGATCAAGGCACAGAGAAAAGCAGGTGTAGATGTTGACGGTAGTCTTGCACAGGGCAGACTGAGCAATGAGGACAACAGCAGTGTCTAAGTATAATTACAACCCACTTCAATTATTGAAGACTTTATGTAAAGATAATCTACAATTATTATTATTATTATATCCCATAACTGCTTAAGTCCCTATCACCAGACCGTAGACGGAATAAAAGATTGACAAACATTACTCTATTAACAAGAACATCATGACTTTTATCCTTCTCCAGCCTCCTGCCATCATTGTAAATCCTCGCCCCAAAAGTATCAACAAAAGAAAATGCCGCATTGGGCGAGATCATCACGTCATTACAGCCATATTTTCTCTCATGGCCATTGGTATTCGTTCTTTCTGAAATCAAGACAGGCCGAGGAACTTGAGTGCCTTGTGAGAGTTGCCTTTTCGCCTCTCGGCCTTATCCTCGAGGAGCGGCATAATCCGGCGGTCTTCTTGATCCCAGTCACTATCATCAACATACATAGTTAAGATCGATCGAGAATCGATCGCGGAAGGCTTTCGCTTTGAGTATGATCGACTTTGCTTGCTTCTGGAAGACTTCGCTGTCTTGGCTGTTTCAGCGATGGAAGGAGTTCGGCTCGGAACCACAGATGACCCTGATAGTGCCGCTCCCAAAGACGCCCCAGGTGCCGGGGACATGGGCGGGCTATGAGTCGCCGACGGCACACTTGGGAAAGGGGAGAAGGTTCCCGTGATAGACGGCGGCTTAGACTTCTTTGGGGACGGCTTCTTGGGAGGCTCGTGAGGTACATAGAAATCAGAAGTCTTGGACAGGATCCTCGAAATGGTCGCAATAAAAGTTGCGATTTCCGCATCATTTGCAGTTGACGTGATGAGGAAGTTGGCTTCAGAAACCTTTACG